CCCGATGGCAAACACCGGGGGGGGCGGCTTGTTTTATAACGTCGTTGCCAAGCGACGAAAAGCCAACCCCGATGGCAAACACCTATGGGGCGGCTTGTTTTACAACGTCGTTGCCAATCGACGAAAACCCAACCCCGATGGCAAACACCGGGGGGGGCGGCTTGTTTGACAACGTCGTTGCCAAGCGGCGAAAACCCAACCCCGATGGCAAACACCGGGGGGGCGGGGACTGCCATTTCTGGTTCGAAAGATGGGTGGAAGTAGCACGCTGTGCGACAAAATACCTGGACGCGGGTAGGCGCTATTCTTAGTCGGGGGCTGACTACGTGTACCCAGGTGGTTACTTCTTGTCCTGACGGGTAGTAGGCCCCGTTAAGTTTTCTGTCTAAAGAGCAAACCGACGAATTTTGTCGTTGTTGCTTGTCCCAAGCTCTAATTTTTTTTTGGCTTGTTTTTGCACGATTCCATAATCACCAGTTGCACGCTTCGGACCACGAACCGCAAATGCTTCGTTACTTGTGGCCCAAATAGAAAACATCATTCCATGTTGTGTTGTCCTTCCGTCAACATCGGCTACGTTTTCGAAGGGCACGATAATCTGAGATGCAGCCAACGAAGGACTCTAGAAGCGAAAGGGACACCACAGACAGGCATACCGCGAGAGGAGACGGGCGTTGCTACGATGACCGACGGTGTTGCTGGCATTTGCAGGGAAAATCCTTCCGTCAACAGTCAACACCAGTTGCAATAACACTTCCGTCAACACCGGTGATCATACACAATTCGAACCATCAACCGCACGCGCTTCGTCGCTTGTGGTGCAAACAGTACACAGACTTTCGTCGTTTACTCTGAGACGCGACCAACGAACAAAAAGTCAAAAGCGAAAAGGAGCACATAGACAAGACAGACTAGACAGAATAGACAGACAGACAGACCGCGAGAAAATGTGGTGTTGTCATGATGACCGACCGTATTGCTGTAGAAATGCTGGCATTAACCCCTTGTCTTCCCCTTCCGTCAACACTCGAACAAAAAACCTTTCGTCAACAGTGGTGACAAAAATGAACAGCCGCCCACGGCACGCGCTTCGTTACGTGTGGCGACAAAAGAACATTCTCCCGTCAACATTGGCTTCAACTCGAGTACGGCGATGGCTAGCGCAAATATTGGTGGTAATGTCTTGCACGTGTCCGGAAACCAAGGGTTTGTCATTCGCCAACTGCTGTATACTTGAGAAAAAGGCACGAAGGGAAGTGGGAAAATAAACATCAGGCAATAAAAGGGAGAGGAGGGGGTAAAATTAAACATCGAGAAGCAACGACGTCACACACATGGAACAAGGGGGGGGTACGGAGGCCCATTAAAAAGCGGGAAACGACACCGGGAGCGGGTAGAAACGGCAATCATGTCGGCAAGAAGCAGCCCGATGGCTCTGACCTTGGCTGCGTCGAGTGTGGCGAATCGACGGACGACGCCCGCGACGTCATGGGCGCGTGCCAAGAGGCTCCCATGTTACCGACGTCGGGCGATGCGTTCCTTTTCAATCTGGGCCTGCACCTCCGCGAGGAGGTCCGCCCGCTTGTCCAACTTGCAGTCAGTGCAAAACATGTGGGCCTCTTGGCCCGCGCCCATGACGTCGCGGACGTCGTCCGTCGATTCGCCACACTCGGCGCAGCAAAGGTCGGAGCCGTCGGGCTGCTTCTTGCCGACGCACTTGGCGCCGTCGGCGTGGAGGTACACGGGCATGACCGTCTTGTTGTCCTGACTGAATCGGCTCCGAGGATCTTCGAGACAGTAGAAGGGCTGCTCGTGCCCGATAGGCGAATTGCAGAAAAAGCAAAGGAAGGGCCGGGAGAACTTCCTCTACTGCTGTCGGTTTGCTTTGCCACCGAGACGGGCACGCTCCTTTCGCACTGCATGCAGCTGTTCACGTCGCAAGTATCCATAGACACGGGGAATGCCATCGATGGGAAGGGAAGTGCGCGGTCGCGTGAGTTTCGCAACAACAACGAAAACTGAGAAACAGCGACAGAGCATTTGAATGGCGTGCGGGCGGGACCGGTCGAGCGATCACTACAGCAAAGAAGACGCTCGCGTGCTGATCATGCATCTCTCTCTGCTGGCGGAGAAGTCTGCTGGTGGAGAAGACAAACAAACTTGATCTACAGTACCCTGCGACCACTCAAATGAGTGCTTCGCAGCGCTTCTCACTTCGGGGAGTGGTTATCAGCAAGCGAGGTGATACGTTACGGGTGAGAGTCTATCTACACGTAACGATCTGTCTGTTGCCTGCGCATGAGGTATACAGGCTATGTAGAGTGCAAGCGTCTGTCTTTTGGCCACGCATGAGGTATACAGGAGGCTTGACTGCCGACGAAAAAACCAACACTGTGCAAAATGGTTACCTGATGCCTCACCTCTTGCAGCCGGGGCCGAACTCGCCATGCCCACACAGAAGGAACGTAAGGGTAGCGGCCTGTTCCGCTTTCAGTTTCGGCATGGTCCTCCGAGCCTGCTCGACCATCTCCTGGAACCCCCCACACATTTTGCAGACACTCGACATGCCGAGGACAGGCGATGGACGATGTGGGAGGAGGTTGTGGCGGGAAAGTGGCGAGGGGCGCGCCCGCGGGTACGCGGGGCGCGCAATTGTACCACCACATGTTGCACGGATTGATCCGAAGGGTCCCAAACGGCGACGAGAAATGAAATATCCGTGACGAAACCAAACAACAATAGAATGATGCCAGTGGTTGAGATGGAGACGGTGAAACGCCACCCGCAGAAAAGTTAGCCTTGTCAACACCGTCCATCTGTATGTAGTGCGATTATGATTTGCACACACACCTATGGCGTTGGATCCGACTAACAGCAGTCATGAGCACCAGTCTTCTGTATCAATAGTTGATGCCCGCGCACGTCAAGGATGTCAAGCCTCGGAAGTACAACTGCTGCCGAGTCAAGAAGAACCGGGCGGACCCCGCGAATTAACGGCCGGAGCGGGCCCCGGACAAAATTGTTTTCTCATGCGGAGCGGACCCCGAAAATTTCATCATTACCAGGACCCCAGGCATGAGTTTGATTTTCGTTGTAAGCATAAAGCATGAAAAAAAGCCGGGCGGGAGGGAGAGGGAAGCAACCCAACCCACGGAAAGGGGTTGTCCCCGCCGGAGTGGGCCTGGCGTGCAGTCTTGCTGTTGTCGTGGAAAGTAGCCTGTGATGTTGAACGCACCTGTCCCCAACCCTTTTTGACGGGACACCCACCACCCGATGTCGAGCGCATTCCCCTCGAGAAGCTTTTCGATTTATGTGTCCCGATTCGAAACAAATTGAGCCAGAAATAAGTTCCGTCCGTTTTTGTGTTCGTAGGTTACACCACAGCAGCAGCGGCACACCACGAACTCGAATCGTCGCGCATGTCCTGGAGTAAGATCAGGAACAACAGGGGCAAAAAGGCAACTGCCGTACACCATCCGTCGTACAGCAGCACAGCAGCCCAAATCAACAATAACACATGAAGGAAACAACACGGATGGATCCGAACAACATTGACACAAGGAGCCAACAACCCAAGACCACCAGCTCCTGATGGGTGAAAAACAAGCGGAAGCGGGAACGACGACTACCATATTAACCACCGCCGCCCAGCGGATGAACATTACTACTAAGGCGATATATCAGCTCCTCCAGAGATGCAGCTGGCATAGATTGATGGGGATGGGTGTGCTGCATGACTTCCATATTCGCAATTCCATATTTACAACATGAACCAACGAGTAGCTGCTGATTCTGGCGCAATGAACGAACATGGCACCGGCCGCTGACCCTTCCTCTTGCATGCAACGTTGGAAACCTTGTTTTAGATTTCCAATAAGGTGCCCTTTGTGGCCGACCTTAAGCCCAGCGGCAAGTACGTCATGGAAGACCTGCAGGGTGTGGGCGGCATCCCCGCGGTGCTCAAGATGCTCATGGAGGAGGGTCTGTTGGATGGCTCGTGCATGACCGTCACTGGAAAGTAAGTGCTGAGTCCTGGCGGTTACGCCAAGACAGTAGGCGTTACTGAACTCTGAAAAACACTGGATGATTCGCACGCGCGAGGGCCTGCCCATTGATGCCGTGCACATGTTCTTTATCTAATATTGCTTGGTCTACAACGAGGATGTGGCGCCGTGTACGTGTTGGATCAGTTATGAAGTGTGCCGGTGTTCGATGTTCTATTGGCGTGTGCATAGTCAGAATGCATTGCGGCCGGCGTACATCGCGTGGTAAACAAGAGTGCTACAGCAGTACCTGGGAACAACGTCGTTGTTGTTTTGCATTGCAGATTGCGTCAAGAGTGCACCACACACGGCGTTAGCGTGAGGTGTTGACATGCACAAAAGGAAAAGGGGTGCCCGCAGCGCACCAGCTGCTGTAGGCAGGAGCATTGAAGCATGCCTTGCCACGGTTTGAGATGTGATGGCGAGTATCATATCAAGTTTTATAGACGTGGTTCTAAATAGTAGCGGCGGCGCCATGCCCAAGTACGTCATTGTTTCCCGTTGTCCTTGAGACTTCGCGCAGCACCCGCGTGTTTGCCAGCGCCCGTGCTGCTGAGGCCTACTTAAAACATATGTAACGTCTAGTCACACCCACCCCACCGATATGATACCCCCTGTAGGTGGGGTAGCGTCGGCGTACCCTACCGCACGGATGACGCTGTCACACCCCATCTTTAGCACACACCCTACGGGGTGGAGCCCTTTGAATCCAGATTATCACACGGTTCACACAAGATAACACCCCCCCTCCAACAATGATATCACACGGGTTTGGTGTCTTATTTCACCTGCAACACGTATGTAAAGGAGAACCACGAATGTCAGGTCGGTATTGCATTAATGCAGTCGCCGTAATTCAACACCGGATTAACTGCGCGTTCCTGTGGTGGTATGATGCGATCGTTGCTATCGGAGCTGTAGCGGAGACATGGCGGACTAACACGGGTGGTCAGAACAGTACGAGGCACAACATGTGGCAGCAGAACATGCACCCTCTTATCGAAATTGTTCTACGTCCGTGTTGTTGTTGTTGTTGTTGGTATGGTCAGGACTATGGCGGAGAACTTGGCGGAGTTGCCGGGATTGAAGGAGGGCCAGGACATCATCAAGCCCATGTCTGACCCCATCAAACCTTCGGGACACATCCAGGTACTGCATGCTTTGGTTGGTTTGGTTTGTGAGGTACTTCAGGTATGCACACTCTCAAATTACGAATTCGTCTGCCGAAGTAGCATCGAAGATCGCGAAGCATTCCGGACTACACTAAGCGGCTGCAACGCATCTTGTATTTCCCACCACCGTTGCATACCTTAACGGGCATCCTTTTGTATTGCTGTGCGGGTGTGTAGATTCCGCGGGGAAACTCAGCATACCCCTACCTCTTGCCGCTATGGTTCGCTGTGCAGATTTTGTACGGCAACGTAGCCCCAGGGGGTGCCGTGGCTAAGATCACCGGGAAGGAGGGGCTGACCTTCTCGGGTGTCGCCAAGGTGAGCGTGACATCAGCGGAAGTAGGTAGACCTTTCAATGGCGTGTTTCAGTCATGCAATATTTTCCACGTGTGGGATTGAACAACAGTGTTTTTTTTGCCTCTTCGGAGCCCACCAGAAGTACTTAACTCTCCGCGCAGTGCGTGCGTTGGGCACAGTTCACAACGTCTTGTAGATGGCACTATCGCGTGCATCACCGTGGTGAGTTGACAAAAATCGTGAGCGACATCCACGACCTACCCGTTGAATATCTACATACATACAGTAGCTCAAACCCTCGGCTCAGACACGGAAGAAACTTGAACCTACATTCAGTAGCGCCGCACAGGGGAAAAGGTGGGGCAATAATTCTTTCCCGGTCACGCCATGGCCGTCTGTTTTGGGTTTTAAAGTCTATCCCTTGGTGAACGCTGAGTAACACCCTCGCGATTAGAGGGACCTCACATTCCTTCTCCCCCTCTGTTGTCCGCAAGGTCGAAAACTCCGAGTTTTCCATAGTCTTTATATGCCCTTTTCGTACCAAACATACCTTTAAGGACTAAACATGAAGTTTTATTTTTAACAATGTCCAAAACGCACGGCGAAGTCCGCACTTGGATTTGGCTGTGTATTGGGCTCCTCCAATTTTCCATATACTGTACCCGTCTCGTCATTTGTTTTTCCCCGCAAGGTGTACGACTCCGAGGAGGACATGCTTGAGTCATTGGCGCGAAAAGAAATCAAGGCCGGCACGGTGGTGGTGATCCGTTACGAGGGGCCAAAGGGCGGCCCGGGGATGCCCGAGATGCTCACCCCTTCGTCTGCCATCATGGGTGCTGGCTTGGGAAGCTCGGTGGCGCTCATCACTGACGGGAGGTTTTCGGGGGGGTCTCACGGGTGAGAGTTCAAATTGTACGACAAGTTTATTCTTTCTGCGCGTTTGTTGACGACGAGGTCGTGTAGTTCTTGCTATTACTCCTGTCTCTGTCGTAATCATCATCGCAGGTTGTCCCTCGTTACGGTTTCATTCCAGCAAGCAGCTTCGCCGATGTCATGTGATGGCGATTCTTGAGTTTGTTTTGTAGCCATGACCGTCAGATTGGAATGTTCGTTGTCGATCCGTGTCATACCACGGACTTCGTAGCATTTACGGGTAGAAACTGTTTACTTGCGGGGTTCCCAAGCTTGCATTTTGCTAGTTGTTTATTGTTGAGTCGTTTTGTACCGATACTTCAAGTCCTCGCGGCTAAGCTTTATCTCCGTACCCTGGTGTTGTTGGGACAGGTTCATCATCGGACACATCACCCCTGAAGCTCAGGAAGGCGGCCCCATCGCTCTCCTCAAGGATGACGACCCAATCGTTATTGACGCCGAAAAGCGCACCATCTCCGTCCTCATATCCTCTGTAAGTGTTGGCATGTTGATGGTGCTTCGTTTGGGTGTGTTGTCTCTGTCCGACTACTGAATACAGGAGCCATCAAAATCATCGTTTATTTATCCAAGTCATCGTCCCACTGCTGTCCCATAACCCATTGATTGAATAGGACGATGTTTCTAACCACCTGTCGGTACTAAATCTTTGCAGTGCTTTTACACATCAGCATGCAGGGAGATGCCCTCGACAGGAAGATCTTCTGTGGCTCATACTTGCTGTGATAAACATGCGTTGCTGTCATGAAAACGTTTGCTGTCATTGCTGTATCCACTGACATAAAAACAAGTGCTTCCAGACCGAGGTGACCGCGTTAGATGTTGTGATGCTACCGTTATAATGTCTCCCATGACTGCACCGATCACACGACTTGTCGCCCGTTTCCTACTCAGACCGAGTTGGAGAAGCGGCGACAAGACTGGGTTCCGCCGCCCCCCGCGGCGACCAAGGGCACGCTGTTCAAGTACATCAAGAACGTGGCCTCTGCTTCCGAGGGCTGCGTAACCGATGAGTAGGGTATCTCTACTTTCATTCTAGTTTAGCAATCCCTCTTGCAACGGGCAGGGAGTGTTGGATGAAGGTTACCGTCACGTTGCAGCCTCGAGGGAACCTGCTGTCGTAGCATAGCAGTTCAGTGCGTGCGTTTGGTACTACCGGCATGGGCATGGGATACGTCGATTGACCAATTGGCCTACATGTAGCGTAACCGAGTTCGTTGTATTGTTAGGTTTTTGTTAAAAATGGATCACGAGAGGAGTGTGGTTGCATCGGGGCTGGCAACAAACGATGTTAGGCGTGTTACCCAAGAGTGGTTATTTGTCGCTGACCTTTTTGGCTACTTGATTGTATGGTGTGTGTAGGTTTGCTTTTTATCACAATTGCAGTCGCGTGCAGCACTGCTGTTAGCTTTGCTAGCATCAAGTAGGTGATAGAAGGGTGTTCCAAAACCTCACAGGGTGACTGTGACATCGCAAGAAATGCCCACGGTGCGTTTTCTTCGACCGCGCCGTCACTTTTCAAGAGGAAAAAACCGCACCGCCGTACCGCACCGACAATATTGGAGATAATATATAAACCGCACCGCACCGCGCCGTGGGGTACTAGAGAACCGTACGTGCGATTTTGAACGGCGTGGTTTGTTTAACTCCGTCGCCAAAACCGCGGTAAAAAACGCAGTCAAGGAACATTTTCCCATGCAGATGTAGACTATACTAGGAATGGCAACAATTGCTTCATGTGTCCAACCTACTCGTGCGGGAAGGCAATGGTTGTCGAGGTAGACTCTGAGCGTAGCAGGGACGCACTTTTTGGTATATATTCCACGAAATTGTTGGTACTCCCGTTCGTTTATGACGGGAAACTGTAGTCATGCGTTTTGCTTCGATGAGGCACTACCACCAAGGCCTCGGTTCGCGCGGTTTTGATCACGGAGAGGACAAAAACCGTACCGTGAACAAACACATGACGGATAATCCGCACCGTACCGCACCGTCACCATTCGACATGAAGAAAACCGCACCACGTCGTGACTACATGTCAGAAACAAAAAAAGGAACCGCGGTGCGTTTCCACACCGTGAATGTCCCTGGAAAGCACTCATGCAAGCACCTAGGCGTACGGATATCATCCCGAAGGAAACCAAGCGCTGTGACTGGCCGTCGTGTGAGTGAGGCAAACAGTCAATGGCATGCTCGCGTTGGCAAATAATCCTTGAGTTTTTTGTTCGCGCGATATTCTTCAGACTATTCCCGAGCCCTGTATTTGACGAGTGAGTAGCAGACGTGGGCGGTACTCTCCTTCAGCACCTTGACCGTGATGTCGCGTGGTTGCCTCCGGCATTGAGGAAAAAACACGGCACGGCCCTGTCGTCCATCTTGGTCGCCGGCCGTTCCCACATGAAACCGTACTGGAAAAACGGAATCAAGCGAAAAGGGCTTTTCTTGCCGGTGTAGAGCTCCTGCGCGACGCACCCCCTGGGTTGGATGGAGATGCAGACTGGTTCAGCTTCTGCGCGGCGTCTTTTACGGACTCCGCCCAGAGCTCATCGCCCCGTACGCTCAGCCCGCGGATGCGTGAAAATCCGGCAGGGCCAAGCAGCTCTTGGGCAACCCGGCGAGAAGCCTTGGCCACCTTCAGGCACCTCTGGATGGCGCTCTCGACGACGCCGTTGTACTCCTGCATGCCGGGAGGGGAGTACTCGAGCGCGATCCCCATGCCGGCGCAGAACTCCTTGAAGCTACCGCTGGTCCAGAGCGCGTCGCAGTCGCAGCGGATGCACTTGATCGCGGTGCCGGCCTTGTGAGCGGCGTCCACGACCATGCGCTTGAAGACTGCCAGCGCCTCCGACATCCGCCGCATCGCATAGCAGACCATCCAGCCCGTGGCGGCGTCCACGCCGAAGAGCATGTAGTGGTTGCCGCCGATGGTCGCCGTGTAGCCACCCCAAATGTCGATGTGGAACACGTCGTTCGGCGCCCCCTTGCCGCGGTACCCGCCCCCCTGCTTCGGCACCGGCCCCCTCATCCCCCGCGCCGGCAAGCACCAACGGCAGCTGTCCATGGTCCCCGTGAGGGTGATCCTGTGTTGCTTTGCGGACAATCTCAAAACGGGTTCGGACAGATGGCCACACGGTTGTGGAACGTGTTAATATCATGACCTTTTGTGAATTGCCGACGATGAAGGGCGTCTTCCCCGGACCCAAAACAGCCATTGCACGCTCACACTCACCACTCTCCCACACATCTATCACCCTAGCAGAGTATTCAGCGGAAACATCCGTCACACGAAGGGGTTCGTACTCAGAATCCATCAGGCACGCAAACACGTCAGGGTGGGAAGCAGACGGGAACAGACTCCTCATGCAGTCATTGGCCCAACCTCGGCAGGGGTCAACACTCTCGGCTGTAAGAGCCGACGCCACTCAAGAAATCTCACGCGCAACGCTCACAGATTGCAGAGATTTGTGGGGAAGACGGGTTGCAAAAAGGGAATCGCTCGACACGCCACGAATAAAGCGCAGTTTCCCGTGCATGAGTTGAGTGCCGTTGGGGTTTATCCGGACTTCATGTTTGTGAGACACTCTCCATAGCGAAAACAGGTTGAAACCACATCCAGATACATGAAGAACTTCAGGCACGGTGATTTCAACGTCTTCTTGTTTCCCGTTAGCTCCGATCTGGTGGAATCTCAGGTCTAAACTTCCCAGAGCAGCTACCCTAAGCAACGCGGAGTCAACAATCTGAATATACAGTTCATCAGAATCCAAGCGGCGCACGTCGTATGTATGGTCCAGACTGTGGGTGATCATTGCGCTCGCTCCCGAGTCAGCTTGCCACTGCTCACTACCGCTAGGTCTAGGCATGTGAGGTTGGCACAGGAAAGCTTGGTTGATGATTGGACGCCTAGTGACACGCGCTACTTCAGGCACACGAAGGGCAGCAGGCACAGACACACCACCAGACTCCGAAAAACCCAACTCTTCATCACTCTCGGGCATTCCACGCACACAGGGTACAGCAGGCATCGCAGGCATATCCGACTCTGGAACACCGACATTCTCCTCATGACTCTCTGAGACTTCTGGCACACCGGGTGCAGCAGACATGAACACATCAGACGGCGAAAAACCAAATGCCTTCTCAAAATCAGACTCGGACTTGCCTCGAAGGCACAAACTACGTGCCATGAAGAGACGAAGAGGGGCGTCGCCAGCTGGAGGTAGAGGGTCGCCTGGAGCTGGAGAAGGAGAGGAGGAGGAAGATGTCGCCGGAGGTGTGCCGTGGTGGTGGTGGTGCTGCTGCTACTGCCGCTGCTGTTGCTGCTGCGGGAACGTAGCCTGATGGGTCGAGGTGTCGAAGGCCTCGTATTGAGCTCGCGGTTGGTAGGCGTCAGGGCGTGCAGCAGAAGGGTAGTGTAGTGCGTGGTTCTGCTCATGCTGCTGATGAAATAGCCCGCCGCCGTCGGGAAAAAGATCGAAACCGTATCCCCCGCCGGCGTTGCCGTAGAGACCTCCGCCATGGTCCCCTCCGTGAGCCGCAAGCCCGTACCCGTAGCCTGCCTCGGGAGGTCGTCTCGTCCAGCTGGGTGTTGGTACCTGCGCCGGTGTTGCCTCCCATCCCGAGGTGGTGTCGTTGGCGACAGAATCTCCGCCGCCCATGGCCGAATCAGCAGGAAGATAGGGCCGCGGAACGTTGGCAATCTGCCCGGGAGGAACGTTGGGCGGCGATAATTACCGCCGCGGGCGCCACCGCCGTGTCGCCCACGGCCCTCGGGAGGTTGAGACCCATAGCCGCCGTAGCCACGCCCCCCAGAGTTGCGCCCCAGTTGCTGCTGCCATCCAGCCCCTGCTGCTGGTCCCCGCGGCGATCCTGGTAGCGCAGGAGGGTGCCCCTGACTCCACCCCGCACCTTGTTGATGGTGGTACGGCGCCTGTCTTGATGAGCCACCAGCCATACGCCCCGAGTCTTGCGCTCCGCCTCGAGGCATTGCAGACCCCGAGCTTCCCCCCGCCCTCTCATGTACGCGAAGAACTCGTTGTAGTGGGTGAGGAAGTCACCGTGCAACTTATGGCAGTCGGATGTCTCGTGGGTGCTGTTAGGGCCGTGGAATTGGCAGATTTGCGACGATTGCTGCTGTTGTGGCTGCATCGACGTGTGAGGCTGTTGCAGCTGCTGTCCACGGTGGTCCGTCTTGGCAGCTGGTTTCCTCGGCTCACCGCCCCGGCCCATGCCGGCAGCGACGAGGGCGTGCATCTTCTCCTCTCTCCTCTCTCCAGCTCTCCGCTCGTGCCTGCGCTCGTGCTCAGCCATCCTCAGCGTCTCCTGCATGGTGACCCTCGACAACATAAGGTGGAAAAGCACACGGTCTTTGGTCTTATCGAATTCTTCCAGAAAGCCTCGAGCAATGTGTTTGCACATGGAACACTCAGTTATGTTATCCTTATACGTCCTCAACTTCATCCACAATGCGACGGCCCTTCCATAGTAATTCGTCAGACTCTCCCCCTGCCTCGGGCAATGTGTTTGCACATGAATGACTCAGTTCTGTTATCCTCATACGTCCTCAACCTCATCCACAATGCGACGGCCCTTCCAATTTCGCCAGACTCTCCCCCTGCTTCTGACACAATACATGCCATTCGTCGTCGAGGTTCTGGCGCTTTTCACTCTTATCGTGGCTGTACTGGTTGAGAAAATCATTGTACCCCGCTTGCGGCGACTCAGGCGCCAAAATCTGTGCTTGCACTGGTTGCGCTGTGATTTTGCCTAGCATGAAAGTCCACACCTTTCTTCAATTCCTCACTTGCTCTTCTCCATACGTCCTTGCCAACCAGTTCAGATCCACGTCCATACCGCCTACAGGAACCTCTGGACCCCTTATTGTGTCTGATAGTCTCTCATTGTCAAGCCAAGCTTCAAATGCACTCCGAAAGACACGCAACGCCACTTCTATCGATCTGCCCTTCAAGAATTCCTCATTCCACACTGGCACATTGACTTTTCTCTCTGCCGCAACTCAAAAGTCTGTGCGCCCGACGTGCCTGAATGGGCACGAGGCCCCTGATCCTGGGAGGAGGCCGGAAAGGCGTGGTTGAGAAGGTCGACCAGCGAGCGCAACGTGTCCTGCTGATCTGTCCCCCCTGCTGCTCTCGCACCTCCCTCATCTCGTGCATCATTGACGGAGAAAGAATCACTTCCTCCTCCGCCCGCGACGCCTTCTCCGGCGGGGGGCGACCCGTGCCCTTGTCCCGGCGGAGGTAGTTGTCCGTCTTCGTCCGGCATCTTGCGCGCGTAGACACAGCAGCCGCTCTCTCGATCGGTACGCTAGCGCGTTAAGTGGCTTGGTGCCTCGGCGCGGGGTCCCGTGAAGGGAAGTTAAAGTGCCAGCAGCTTGGCAGCCACTGAACGGTGAAAATACAGAAGACTATCCGCTGGCGTGGCAGCCAGTTCCTATTTTGTTGTGAAGCGTGGTAGCTCGGATGGATGTGATAACCCTGCTGGTGGCGTGAAAGCCGGGTGGCGTGGAAGCCTTGACACAAAGATATAGACAAGGACGTGGAAGTCCTGGTGGCGTGGAAGCCGGGTGGCGTGATAGCAGAGTAAACAGGGTTTTCGACTGATTGAGAGCGGAGTATACGATTGAGAGCGGGAGCCAAAAAAATTGAAATTTCGGGTCCAGACGCCTCTTGCCATTTCTTGGGAAGTAGGGAGCGGGCTCTTCCAAGAAACGGCGCAAATTGAAGGTCTCATCAGCAGCGTCACAAGCATATGCGTGTCATCGCGATCGGATGCTGCAGCTAGGAGCTAGACAAGTTGCTAGATTTCCCCAGATTGGCTATTCCTGCCTCAAACTGTTTCAGGGCGATTTGATCGCGGGCGGTGAGCTCTGCTGTAGATTCTGCTCCCCGCTGTAGCTCCACAACGAGAGACGCCCACAGAATGACCAGGGTATCGGCTTGTAGCTACGGGCTAGGCCTTCAATTCAAGTCACGCAGCAAGCGCCACCTCTCAGCGGTAGTCCAGCTACAGCGCATCGCGCAATCTCGCTCTCAATCAGAAACTTCACTCTCAATCACACCAAAACTTTTTTAGTAGCGTGAAAGCCGGGGAAAAGGATTTGATTAAAAGGAAAGGAGGGAAGAAAAGGGACAAAACCACAACCCACATCATCACATCCGTTGTTGATACCCATACCCTCAATCTTGTATGCGGCAAAGTTGGTACCACCAAATCCAATTCATAGCAAGCAACTGTTGAACCCCCAAACTCCCCGCTCCTTCTGCTTGGAAAATTCTTGCGTAAAATAATCTGTCATGCTGTGAGAGTACATCCAACAACACCCTCGCATTTATCCGCTCCTTTCTCGGATAATTGTCAGCAACCAAAGACGGATGATGCAACATGTAATTACGTTTTGGGATCATCAGTAACCAGCTCGCTGCGCAACACCACTCATCGGAGTCACTACTGCTGTCGTCATACCCGTCCGGAGCGGTGGGGTGGTCCTGGAGGTCTTGGCTCGCTTCTTCTTGGGCTGAGCCCGCCACTCCTTTCGGGCTTTTCGCTGTGACTCGATTCTTCCATAGCACCGACTGATGAGGTGGCCGACTGGTTTGTTGCACTTGGGCCACGTGCACACCGGTCGCTCCCGCTGCCGCCTCTTCCGCTTGCCGAAGCCACGCTTGTTCGAAGCAGACGAAGAGGAGCTCTCCTCGTTGAAGATGACAAAGGCGTACAGCGGGTGACAGCAGCAGCATCGTCGTCATTGCTGCTGCGGTGGTTCGGCACGCCAGCCGCCCTTGGGCTGGCCATGTAAGCTGCAAGGTCGGGCTCCTTGAAGGCCGCTTCAATTCGATGGGCATGGTCTCTTGCTTCTCTCATGCTGAGGGCAGACTCTCCATTCCACTGCATATCCCGAATATCTGGCGACACGCCCACTCGCCACATTGTGGTAGAGAGGACAGCCAACGGACTACGGCCGGGGGTTTCTCGCTCGACAGCCAACGCGAGTCGGGAAGAGAGCCAGTTCAGACGCAGCCAACACATTACCGTATATGACACAAGATAACACACCCCCTGGACCGATTTTCAAAGCTCGACTACCGTAAGAATCGGGGTCTTCGCACACTGTGCGGTCGCCTTTTTAAATGTCTTCGTTCTTCGCACAGGGGTGCGGAGACGCCGATATGTGCGGAGACCCCGATACATGTGCGGAAATCGAATTAAATGATTTAGTTGTACAGTATTATCGCACACCCCGTGCGATGACGCCGATTGTCCATGTTCCCTGTGTCTGTGTAGTGCTTGTCTTGCCAGTAGCAGCAGCAATGTGTGCAGCACGGCAGTGCGTCGTGGTTTCTTGCGTGCGTGTAGTTTGTTGCCAAAAAACAACAAAGACGACGCCTCCCGGGGATGCGTCCATGTGACATATATATTTGCACAAACAGTGTGCTATCTCGAGACACCGACCACAGATTGCAAAGGTGGTAGCGGTTGGGACAGCTCGGGCAAAATGTTACTTGTTGTGCGCAAGTTTTAGTTTGTAATTTGGTGCCGAGATGGTGAAATGGGCTCGAGTCTGTCTGCTGCTGGGTATTTAGGGCGCGCAGACAGACAGACAGACAGACAGACAGACAGACATCGCGTAATTTTCACGCCCCTGTGCATGAAAATTATTCTTTTTCTCGTGCGCACATACTCCACACACGATCCCTCTCAACAGCTTTTCGTTTGCAAAACAAGAAGCGTACCCCTAAACGGGCCACACTTTTCGCAAAAAAAAAAACTATTATTAAAATTTTGCTGATTTCATAGTCTAGACCAAATTTTCCCCAGCAGTCTTCACGAGCCAAAAAAGTTGGCACTACAAACGTACTACGGGCTACAATCTGGAAGAGTATTTGCAGTCTAGCCAATCACCGACGCCCCTGAAGGCCAACTCCTGAGCGTGCTGTACCACGGCCCTCGTTTTCCCCGCACTTCTATTGCCGACTACTTCTACATTTCTGTGGTGTGTATTTATTTATTTTTCGACAGAGTTTGTTTTTTTTCTGGATGGTCACGTTGACGCATCACATCAGGTAGAGCACAGCGATGTACATCCTCGTTCGGTATGTGTGTCTCCATTATTGGCATCGACCGCGCTAACCGGCTGATCACTGAAAAGACGTCAGTCTTGGTGCGGTTGAAACACAAAACACTTCTATCTGCCATGACCTGGGACCCCGTGAGGGGGCAGCATGGGTGAGGCTAAACTGCTGTCCTTCGGATGAAAGACAGAAACGATGGCGACAGAAGAAACTGCACGCGTCTACCAAGAGGCTTTTACCTTGTACTCGAGTTCGTTTAGGAGTACTTTTAACCATCCTCCTTGTTGTTGCTACCATCATTCTGATCCTCATTCTGACTGTATTCGAACAGAGTGGAGAGGAGGATAGAATATTTAGTAAACTGAAATGAATGGTGTAGTGCCGGCCGGGTCACACCAACAAAGCCTATTATTTCACACTCTAGAAACTTGGGATAAAAACAATCGTTGAAATGGTGGAAGGAAATGGATTCAGCCGCGAACACCGCACAAACCCTTCGCGTGACAAAAAGCTGCTGCTGCTGTACACTTACTGCTTGGGGATTTACGGTAAGAGTCGGGGCTCGAATAAGATGAGGCGCGGTCGGCCTTCGCTCTCAGCAAGACCAATCAACTACAACGTGTTTCTGCGGCATCTTTGCCATCACCCGTTCGTGCTGAGCCCGCGAGGCACAGGTAGGTAGGTACATGAAGATGCCTCCCGCAGCTACAATAGGATGCGCTACACAGCAGCATTGTTTTTTTCCGAAAGAAGAATCGTCCATTCTTGACACAAAAGGCTTTATTCCCTGCTCTCTTCGTCGAATCAGCTCTCCTGTACATTGCATTGCCACGTTGCACTTTTTCAATTGCACTTTTTTGCACTGCATACGTTGTCCCAGGTTTCGTGCCATCCACCCCCCCCGCACCGGCGTTCGTTGTGGTTGCGATGGCAATACAGTGCCGCCAACGGCGACAACGGAACAACAAGCAAGTCATCAAGTACTGTCCAGATCTTGGCCGCTCAAGACAACACACGCACGAAACACCAACGTCAAAATATAACACACAAAAGTACCCCCATTTACTAGTAGTCTCTTAACAACCCAGTCGCTAGATCCTACTACACCGTGTAGCCCGTGCACACCAGTTATTTCCACCTCGCCAAGGCTGATCGAAAAAAAAGTCTATCTACTGCTTTATGTACCAGTAGTGTCTAGTGTACGAAACCCTCAATAAAGAAAAAAAGAAAAAACAGTTCATCGAGGGGTGATGACCCGCATCGAACCCGGATGAATGCCGGTTGCAAGAGGCAAACCAAATTTCCGGGGTCCCTCGGCCGCCCCCCGCATTGCATCAAAACACATGATACTCCGTTCCCTCAGGAGACCGACGGAGCCAGTGCCCTAAACTCAAAGTACGAGGCAATGGATACGTGAATGCTCCCCATCTGTACCGAATCAAGCCCAGTCTACCATGCAATACGCCGAAAACTACAACGCACGCTTGAGGTGTCTCGCGGACGCCTACTACTTAGAAGCACCTCGATTCCAATCAGTGCAGGCTCACCCGAGGTCTTTCCGGCTACCACCCTCGTCTCCCGAAATCAAACCGAACCCACCAAAAAAGTGAACACATCCGCTTCAACAAACCACGGGTAAGGATGGGAACCTTCCACAGAAATCGCGTGTTCGGCGTGCCTTGATCTCTCAGACAGGTCGGTGTTTCTTTGTTTCGCGTATCGCCACCCCCGAGGTGGCTCCGCATGCAAGCTTTAACGCTCGCAACGACTTCAAGATCCCCGTGCCGCTGCTGGAACTTTTCTTTTTTGTGATGAATGAAAATAAAACGACGCTTATTATACGAGAGGCCCAACAAGAGTTTTGGGTTTCAACAATAGGAGCGCCGTGACTTGAATGACAACCGATGAAAGGAAAATAAGACTCATACTCAGCACACTGTACAATGTTCAGACCTGCTTGACGGCACTTCGTTTCTTAGTCCCCCGCCCACCCACCCTGCACCCGCGCCCCTGCCAACACATACTGTGCACTCCATGCTACATTGTAGCCTTTCGTACGCCAAGTGTCTTTAGTCCTTGTCCGCGAATCGCAATATTTCTGCTCCACTCCTACGGACCACGCCCCTGTAGTTCCTACTTGTACGATTCGACACCCCCCCGCACCCCTCCAACCGCCATCCTGGCAAGTGCTGGGGCAAGGATAGAGTAGACAGCTTCTCGTCGAGGAGATGGACAAACTTCGTTGAAGTGTTCGGTGATTTGCTTGTCTTCCTTTGGTTCGAATCGTGCCAAAACGAACGGTTGGAGCACAAACTGCATCATCCACAGACCCAACGAACTACCTGTTTCTCTTGACCCAACGGTCTGACTCGTGTCTCACAACGCTTGCGTCTGCCCGTCCGACCGCTCGTTTTTATGGTTAGGTAAACACCCTTTTGGTAGAAAGACGAAACATTCGCCCCTCTTTAAGTGAGGTAGATCGACATCAATACCTAGACGACAATAACGTCCAAGCAGACGATCTAGACCTTGAGTTAGATATCAGAATTCTCCGCACATCTTTAACAACTTGAGTAGACCCCAAGATCGGTAGATTAGATCAAGATCTCATCGTTCTGCCTGCAGACCGTGAGAACGACGGGGCCCCGCAGTTTCTTGAACAGCTCGATGCCTTCTTTGTACGTGCCCAGGGGCACCCCGCCCACCCGCTGCAGGGTGTCCCCAACCTCGATGCCGGCCGCCTATGTGAGGGCATGTAGAAACGAGACATACAAATATGACATCAAGTTAACCCTGTGCATCTAACAGACGATACAAAAAAAATCTTCCATTAAGTCAAACTTGTGTGTTTGACGATCATCCACTTACACACCATGCGACCAACAACAGCCGACCAACAAGGGGCAGGGTACATGTGTCATGGTGATGCGAGTTTGTGGACGACAAACAACACAGAGAGAAACTTGGAGAAAGAGATACGGAGAGGCGTCCTAACACTCGCCGTAGTTCAGCGGCGACCATTTTTCTTTGCAACTAATGGCATACAGTATCTTCAGTTGGTTTCACCGCCCATGTTCACAACCAACACAGAGCTCATATCCTGTTCGGTCATGAGGAGGATATGCCTGGAGGAGGAAAACGAGCGAAAGGGTGCGAAAAATGAAGTCGCACCGCGCTCACATTCAGTGACAGCATCACAACGACTCGAAAAGAAAAAAAAAAAAGCCCCCCAGATTCTCCCTTCATACGCACATATCCTCCAGCCGCGGCCGCTGACGATTTGGTCGCTACAGCGAAAAAGAAAAGCGCTTGTGCTGAAAATAAACAAATAAAAAAAAAGTACAGTTGTTCACCTCGGCAGGGTTGGGCTTTCCATCTGGCATGGATCGGAATCCGTTGACGACCCAGCGGGTTCCTTGCTCCTCCTTCCCGAGGACTAAACCCAACCCGCAACTCCCCACATTTGCCGTAACGTCAACCGAGTGATGATTGACCTTCAGCGGGAGAGACAGACCATTGGCAGAAGCAGAACCAAACAGCAGCAACAGCGGCGCAGAGCAGATGGTGGATTGCAACGAAAGCGGAGGACGCAGCAGCAGCAGCAGCAGCAGCAGCAGCAACAACAACAGCAGCAGCACGAAAAAGAAAAAGAAAAAAACAAGGGTTAACAAACAGCACATCTTCGCGCCAGGCGGAGAAGCCCGTGACTGAAACGCAACGAAAAATCTGAGAGCAGCCGATAATTAGGTAGAGGCTTCGGCAATGTCAGGCGGGAGGGATCGCTTGTCAACAACAGGAACACCGAAATGGAGTTGCAAAAAGGAAACGGCGGTGTTCCCCAGGAAAAAAAAAAGGATACACGAGAAAACGAGAACTTGAGAGCTTTCCGCCAGACGCTGATTGGTCAATGTTGTCGGCTACAGCAGTGTCTTGGCGTGGGGCGGCGGTTTATCTGACGGAGGGGTAGCCGTTTTATCGCGGCGGCCCGTGCAGCTTTTTGATGACACAGTGACATCCCGCCACGGCCGATTGCACGTGCGGAGAATATGTCTTCGAGAGTGGAGGCCATACGGTGATTGGTAGCACAACCCCTTGTATATGTGGTGCCGACTGCGGCAAAAATAGGCACGAAAATATGGCGTCAGCATTCCCCAACAAAACCTTGTTGCTGGAACCTTAACGCCACTAGGCCACACACACGGCACTCACGCAGCAGCAGCAGGACTGAAGCAACGCAGATCAGCAAGCTTCCACGGAAAAACAATCGACCACCGTTCATCAACGTGGTTATTCTCTTGTCTCGTATGCGTAAGGCTAAATTATTCTCAATTCCACCAAAAATTACCAAATATTTGCAATGTTGGGAATGCGGATTCAACGATCACCACCTAGGTTTAGTTTCAACACAATACTGTAACAACATCAAGTGCGTGATGGCTCCATCGACCAAAACTAGCACGATTATGATGTACCAATAGTTTACGTTACTCACGTCCTCCGTAAAGGCCGCCATCGCCTGCCCTTTCCGCGGTGGGGGAGAGGGAGGAAGAGTAGACGACGAAACGGACGATGTCGCCGACAAGTCGGCAACAGCCTGCGCAACGTAATCGATGCCATCGTCTTCGGGTTCAACCTGTGAACGAACGAATCAACAATCGACAACGAGATACGAATATGTTGGTGGAGATGGCGAAAGCGAGCGGGAGTAATGAGACCGGGTAGTGCTTATCGAGAAACCCAACAATCAGCACCAAGATTGCGGTAGGTGTCGCCATCAACAGCTTGTGCAACACTGGCGACGTGCCGTAACTGCCCGGGTTGGGTGTGGTCGTCACAATTCCAGACTGGCTTCGTTCCCAAATATACACACCAAACAAGCACGTTAAGGTACGGCAGGACTTGCTGACCACAGCTGAAGCCAGACTAAACTCGTCTTAACAGCAATGGTCCCTGCATATATCTACCCATGGCAGAAAATACAACCAAAGCATGGTACAGCACACACCAACAAAACAAGATCGTCGACTCTCTCGCGCTCCGCTTACGTGCTTGAGCTCCGCGGGCGCATCGGGCATGGAGGAGGAGTGGTGCTCGACGATCGTCCACGGTCGGGGGCTGCCGGGCTTGCCCCTCCGGAAGGTGAAGCTGAAGCGGGCCCTCTTCTCCACAGTATCCCCGTCGTCCCCCTCCCACGCGAACGTGTAGGTGCCGGCCTGGACGGCGAACTCGCCGTACACGCGCACCGGTGCCGGGGTGTACTCCAACAGTCTCAACTTAGGCAGGCGCGCGAAGAAGTCCTGTTTTTGGAGCAGCCCGGCAGCGGCGGAATAGGCATTGGGCTCAGTGGAGAAAGCTAGCCGAGAGTAATGGATATTGTGAGGTACATGGGTCATACCGGGAGGCATGCCTACACAACCACTGGACGGCTTCGTACCAGTGGTTTTGGGGCACGACAACTCGAGTGGAAGGACGCGTGTAGTCAAGCCAACAGGGACGGAGAGCAAGCAAGGAGGGTTGTTTGGATTGGGGAGACACAGCAGCACTCATTGGGCGGGTGCCAGATGCGGGGGGGAGAGAGGAGAGTAGACAGTAGGCCCCGCTGCCGGCCAAGCAAACTTACGAGTTGATCAACAGTGCAGAGGACACGAGCTTCCTTGGCTAAGGCTTAACGAGGCTGTGTTCTGTCCCAAAGTATGCGTCGGCCGTGTCGCAGACGTAGAGCTGGCATATTACTCGTCGTACCCGCAAATCCTATCGGAGATCTTGCCTCTACGTAGATCGCAACGAAATCGGAGGTTTGGCAAGCACTCACGAAGTAGTCGTAGATCTGCTCGGGCGTTTCGCGGACCTCCTCCGAGACTGTTCCCCAAAGAACAGCGTCCGGGGCGTAGAGAGCCGCCGTTTTCTTCGGAGCGTCATCGGTTCCGAGAGTCACCGTGTCCTTCCACACAATCGTGGTCTCCGCGACCGCCTTCTGGTCTGCATACCGCAAAAAAAAAAGGGAAAAAGCGTCGGATTAGTTTCGGCTGGTTGTTCGTCACATTGTAGTTTTTCTCCCTTAGGGAAACAAATGCTTTCGAGGTCGGCGTGTCGGTGTCTATATGACCGCCTGGGATAGGCCAAAAGAACAATAGGCCAAAAGGGGTCCGTTCGACTCTTGGCCGCAAGTAATCGCCCCAAAATAGTTTTGAGTTCGGTTATTAGGTGTGGTTGGAGAGGGACAGGCCGAAATAGCGCGCGGGAGCAAGTGCAAATAAGCCAGCCTCAACTTCTGGTACCAAGCATACCTACCGTAAATACTAGTACCTGGCAAGGCTCGAGAGCCAGTCGAGACCAGTTCAGAGACTAACCCTATCATGTGGTAAATGCGTGCAGTTGGCCTTGGCAATGCAGCCGGTAGGTAGAGCAGTACATCACCAAACAGCGACTTTCATCCCTGGAAGTACGAGAAACCGGCAGCGTACTACAGAAACCACCCTGGTGCGGTATATGCATGCAGTAGGCGTTATCGAATAGGCGTTACAGCCAGCAATAAATGCCAGATAACAAGCTGCCACTTGGCTCACCAGGGGTGATCTCTTTGACGATTTTCTTGGGCATAGCATCTTGTCCGACCTGCCAAACATGAAATCACGCCATACCGGAGGGAAGGTGGCGGTGGTGGGGTTCGGTTAGGTTAGGCTAGGTTAGGTTCGTCACCCGCGAATGAATGCGAACGCGGAGAGAGAGGCGCTGGCCTTTCAAAGCATGGCAATCGTGCAGGGATGCCATCATCACCCAACGCCAGCTGTCTACCTCGAAGCTATGAAGGTATTCCTGCGGGGCGGACACTGGCGGACACAGACGGATAGGCTGTGGGGGACAACCAGCAGCCGAGACACCAACTACACTAGGGAGAAATTTGACGAATCACACGGATGTGCCAACATGTCATTAATCGCGTCCTACATGTGCAAACATGCCAACAACCGCGTCAAAAAACACTTTCGGTTTGCCTTTAAAAAATCTGGCGTTCTGTTTGGCGATCAGTGCATCGACGGACAGCCGTAGTTATTTTTGAGGGTTAGGGTGTTATGGTTGATGATTAGGGTTAGGGTTATCTTTCGTGATCGTTGTGGGTGAGTGCTTGGAAAAGCCGCCTGTGTTCAACATACTTTAGGACAATATCAACAAAGCTCACACTTCTTTCTAGATATGGTATTGCTGCGGGGATGCGGGCGGCCCAACATCTGTATGAACGTCAAAGGCAGCAGGCAGCGCATGGGTCACAACACCACTATAGCAATCGCACCCGCTTGAGCCCCGCAGGCGCCGTGGGCATGGAGGAGGAGTGATGCTCGACGATCGTCCAGGGCCGCGGGCTACCGGGCCTGCCCCTCCGGAAGGTGAAGCTGAAGCGTGCCCTCTTCTCGACGGTAACTCCGTCCGGGCCTTGGAAAGCGAAGGTATAGGTGCCGGCTTGTACGGCGAAATCCCCGTACACGCGCACGGCAACGGGGGTGTACTCCACCACCCTCAGCTCGGGAAGCCGGGCAAAGTAGTCCTGTGTTGAATACAAGACAAGAAAAAATCACGCGAGCGGCCAACGGAAGGAGGGCGTCGTGAGAAAACCATTGGATGATATCCGTTGGCCGGATTTTTCCGCTTGCAAGAGGAAAGCTTGGTGCACGGCAGGTTGTAGGAAACTCTAGAAAATAACCTCACTAGCGGCGGGGTTGTACAAAAATAGCCAACACGTTGAGCAGCAGCAGCAGCAGCAACAACAACAACAACAACAACAACAACAACAACAACAACAACAACAACAACAACAGCGGGGGCGACACTCACGAAGTAGGCGTAGATCTGCTCCGGCGTGTCGCGGACCTCCTCCGAGACCGTTCCCCACAGAACGGCATCCTCGGCGTAGAGAGCCGCCGTCTTCTTGGGGGCATCGTAGGTGCCGCTGGTCACCGTCTCCTTCCACACAAGGGTCGTGTCCGCGACCGCCTGTCGGTCTGTTTGGTATATATTGGGTATTATAGGGAAAACAGAGTAAACATACATGTGCTTACATGACACGGGTACTTCGAAGGGGTGAAAGCAAAAAATATTTTTGGAAAGCAATTGAACACCTCCTCCGTTTGCACAATTGCCTGAAGTTGAAATCGAAAGGCATGACAGCCGTTGTCCTGCAATACTGTACTGACTTTCTAGTGTAAAACTAAACAAAACACATTGCTCCAACAGGCTCTCCGATTGGGGCATTTATCTTATTTATCTCCAACGGCTACTCTTTCAGTAGTTATCGTAATCATTCAATTCAATTATACCTAGCAATTATAGGAAAGAACAGTGCTTCAACACACCCTCCGCTCTTTGGGTTGGATTACATTATGCATATCTCCAACGGTATCTCAACTGTGATTGCACAACACTACCTGAGAATACGTTGTAGTCTACAGCAGCTTCAGCAGTAAAGTTTCCCGCAAACATGCTTCCTCACAATGACCCAACGACATCATCTCATTTCGGCAGACTGCAGGGGACACATTGAGGTTCGCATGGCGACGCCGGATGGACGTCTTTCGGCAAACGGCCTTCACAACAGCGTAGGGGTGGGGGTGGTATACCACGTGACAGAGAACATATCATCCATGGTACCATTTACGTACCTCATCTCTGGTTCTCTGTCTAACCCCCCCCAAAAAAAAAGTAGCAACGTTATGGATATGGAGTTGGTCACCTTCCTCCGGCGTTGGGACAGTAGCAGCAGGCGAAGGCTCAGCAGGTGCCGGGGAGATGATCATGTTCTTCAGGCTTGACAGGAAACCTCCGGTCGCTGCTATGCACCAGCAGCAACAAATGGCAACAAGACGGGCAGTGGCGTGCCCTGTCTGCTGGCGGTGACACAAAAAAAAGCTCGACTCGCATCATACTTGTGTGTACCACCAAACCGTTGGTGCCCAATTTCGCGGATGCAATTCGGTGCCCTAGCAGCCCAGTGCGCCCCCTTGCACGCGGAGACGATTAACTTCACTACAGAGCAGCTCTCGGGCAGTCGGCGGGGGGGAGGGGGGATGGGGGGCAAGAAGCACGCAACGCCTGCTGGGTGCTGCTACAAAGGCACACCAGCGTGCCAAAGAACAAATAGCAGTTGCAACCCTCACAAATGCGTGTATACGCCTACACGAACTGAATACGTAGCGTAGCCGTAGTAGCGGCGGGAGGCATGCATCATGCATACCACCGAGCAAGGTCGTACGACAAGCAATCACCCAGAGGAACGCACCTGCGGGCGCCGCCGCCACCGCTGCTGCAGCAGGCGCTGCCGGTGCCGGCGCAGGCGCCTCTCGCCGCTCGGCGTACTTGGCCGCCCGCTTCGGCAACTCCTGCTGCAGCTGCTGCAGGGCGAGCTTCTTCTCCTTGAACTGTGCCTTCTCCTTCATAAGCCTCTCAAGCTGCTTCTTGAGGTAGGAGACGCCGGCCGCGGTCTCGTTGGTCCTACCGGCATAGGTCTCCTTCTTGGTGCCGTGGATAGCCGCCAGCGCCCGCCTGACCTCGTTGTCAACCAGCTCGATGTCGAGGTCGGTAGCCCCCAGGCTAACCGCGATCGACTCCGCGTCCTTGGCCCCAGAGGCCACCCTGCTCACACGCTCGAAGGCGTTGGTGCTCATCCTGCTGCGATCCATGGCTTCGCTAGCTGCTGATGCTGCTGCTGCTGCTGCTGCTGCTTGTGCTGAAGGGGGCAAGAGAGGCAGGCACGCGCGAATCGAAGAGAGACGAGGGGCCGCGCCCGGAAAGATTGGGCAACAAAATCGGATGACGTATGTAGCGCTGGCAGGAATTCGAAGATGCAATTTCGTAACCAAATATCGAGACCTGGCTTGAATGAAGCCTCGCACGCCCAGCACAAAGGGGTCCCAGACTCTCTCTCAACCCCCCTTCCTCACCAGACAGCTACCTCGGTGGTGTTAGCTGCCTGCGTTGCGACAGACCCGCGGCGATGAGAAGACCAAAGCCTGGGGGGGGAAGGGAGGCAATGAGCAATGATTTGGTGTGGTACACGTCATCTCGCGCGCGGGCCATTGAACATCGTCATCGTTACATGTTTTTGGAATGCGCACCCCTGCGGTCGTGCCGTGCCTTTCTATTCTCTTGCTCGCCTTACAGCCGACCCCCCGCCCTCCATGCTGAAAGGACACCTCACCCAACCGTCCGAAGCACTTGTTTGTTGGTATACGTTGTTGGTCTGCCCGGGGGGCGTCATGTGTCGCGATGGTTCGTACCACACGACGCAAAGAAAAACTCTAGGATTGTCCCGCGGCCGATGGCGGATTCAAGATCGATGTCAGAGGTTGCACCGCCCCCCGGTGCGGTCTGTACAGCAGCAGCTAATACTACAGCCGTAGTAGCTGCTGGCTGCCCCACTGCAGAGCATTCTCTGCCTGGGGAACGAGAACGCCACTGATGAGGGGTTCGTGCGCTCTGCAAGTCTCGTCTCACTCTCGATCCCGTTTCTCGAGCTATCTTGCTTTTTTCCTGGACCGCGTCTCTCGTCGACTCATCGTGTCATCTTTTGCGTCTCTCCCGCGTGAGACACGCGTATTTACTCGGCTAGACCATAGCGTCAATAGCGTACCAGCGTGACGCACCTTGAGTACCCCGTCAGTAGTCCTCCAGCCTATCGTATCCCTCGCTCTTCTTGTTAAGCCGCGGTGTGATGGTGCAGGAAAACTCAGTAATCAATTTTTTTTTTTCTTAACATGACACAACGTGGAGGAATCATACTACAACTAGTTGTAGTAGCGTCAGAGAAAACTACCTGTATGTCTACGATTTCCCAGACAGCATATAGGGACATCTTCCCTGCGGGTAACAGGCTCAACAAATCAGTTTGGTAGCTGTCTTGTGTGTCTCATATATGTTATGTTGGGAAGGTGCAGACGAGAGGTGTTGGGTACTGTTGGGTAGTCGGGCGTTTTGTGTGTGGCACCCTGTTAGTTGTAGGACATACAAGGCCCCTGACGCGGGGGCCTACGGCCCCCCCATCCTCAGAGAAGAGGGTCATGGTCGAAATGTTGGTGCATGGTAGGGGGATGGGCTGATACCAAGTGGGGATGATCTTGATGTGTATGAGTTGTGGGATGTAGTAAGCGTTTATGTGGATGATGGACTGAAAAAACGTATGAGTGGCCGATGCACTGCGGTTGCGTTCGCTTGGTGGTATCAACAGCAGACTATGGAAAATAGAGGTGAGGTGCCAGCGCGTGAAGCTGAAGCGCGAATGGGTCAGGTTATGCCGCTATTCCCGTCTGTCGCGCGTCGACGGCGGCATCCAACTCGTCTTGAGGGTAAAAGTAACGCTGAGTACCCACAATCGAGGGGGAAAACTGATTGAAGCGTTCCATTGGTACTACAGCAGTTGTAATTTGAAAACATCACAGATAATGTCTACAGTAGTAACAACCCTATAGAAACGCCCAGAAGCGGAACATTCCGCTACGAAAGCGGTACCCTTCATATTATGTACGCACATAAGTCGGAAATCAAATCTCGCCGGCCTCTACCGTATCGAAGAAAAGGCGCCGAGGGGTCTACCAACAACATCACAACAGAGTCTGTAGAAGACTGGGTTTGAATACGCGACAAGTCTATGTTCGCGCTAGCTAATGTCTTTGTACTTAGATGTTCAATCTATCACGAGAAAACAGTGGAACTCGAAATCAGTGATTCTTAATAAAGCAACCATTGTTTAGCAGCAAGGCGCTAAAACCCTCAGCTCATTCTGCAACCAATTCCATAAATCTTGGCAGTAGCTGTCGAATTCAGCCTGGTGTTGCTCGTATTCACGAAGCAGGTGGTCTGCATGGAAGTCCGGTCCCATGTCGTTTTGTTCTGATGCGAAGACCATTTCATGGTAGGTTAAAGGTGTGCCGCCTGCCGATGAATGGTCCATCCTGGTAGTGGGATGAAGTAGGGCGCAATGTTAGGAAGGGTTCAATGCGGGTTGGTAGTGAGGAGGGTGCATGACTAAGAAGGTATCATAGTGTCGGCTGCTGGCGGTGTAACGCATGAAGTTCGTTTATTAGAATGTATTGAGGGGGAGGTAAGGTGGATTGGTTGAAGTGAACGTGAATGGATATATTGTATACATGTAAAGCAGCGGTTATTTCAGGCTGTCCCATATACGTATTTGGCATGGACATTTTGGCCACATGGTCGTCATAAGAATAGTAGTAAAAAGGAGCAAAACCCACGCCGTAAAGCAGTTCTGTTTGTATTCCGTTGTAAATGTTGAGGTCATTGTTTTGTCTGTTGTTTGAGATGTATTGCACAAGTTGAGCCCGAATTTGGTAGTGTAATTCAGGGTCTCCAAGTACGCGTCGGGCGATGGCCCTAAAGCCACAGTTACCATCTCCTAGTATGGATTGGACGGTCCAGTAGGGAGGGGGCGGAGGAGGAGGAATCGGCGGGTTTGAAGAAGGCGCGGGTAGAAGGGGAGGCGGGTTTAGGGGAAGCGGGAGGAGAGGTGGGGGTGTACTGTGCGGATTGAGGTTGTTGGTCTCGCCTGTTGCGGCTTCGGTGAATGGAGCGTAGACGATCTGTAGTTCATGAGGAGGTATGCCTGAGACGTGGAGCTGATTGAGGTGTTCAGGTGCAGCGAAAGCTGTGGATATAGAACTTTCATCTTTGATGAGAGAGTCGGAGCTGTAAAATGGTACAGTACGTCCAGGTCGTTCGTCGGAAATTATTTTGTTTGAACGGTCTATGGCGTTGTTTGTTGTAGCCAAAATTGCGCGGTCACTCCATGTGGACGCGTCTTCAGACATGTCAGGGTAGACGAAATGAACTAATTCGTTGAAGTCTGTTGTGTACTTTAGTTGGAATTGGTCAGCGGAATCGCTTGAGTGATTTGTGAGAGGTATGAGGTTGAGTCCGTCAGGTAGGTAGGGTGGACGTTGGCAATTTGTCTTCTCTTACATTTCTGACGAAGGAAGCGTAGGCTGGGTCGTCCTTATCTCTTTGAGACTTGGTCAACCTTAGGCGGGAAATGTGTTTCCAAAGATGGCTAGAAATCACAGCAGCGTCAACCGTATCTGTTGGAGACCCATACTGAACGATTGGTCCAGTTTGCCTCCAATCACCTGAAAACAGAATGTTTTTTCCACCGACCAGTCTGTCGTTTCGCATGAGGTCTTTTAGGGTTCTATCGAGAGCTTCAACGCAGTATCGGTGGGTCATAGGTAGTTCATCCCATATGATGAGGTCGCTGGATCGTAGCAAGGCAGCCCTTTGGGTTTGTGCGCTGATGTTGCACACGCATGATGGAGTCATTTTGTCGTCCATTGGAAGTTTGAACATGGAGTGGGCTGTCCATCCACCCGGAAGCTGCAGAGCGGCAATCCCAGTGGAGGCGACGGTGAGCACCATTTTTCCGTCTCCTCTAAGTTTGGCGGCAAGGCACTTTTCTGTGTATGTTTTTCCTGTGCCAGCTGGGGCGTCAATCATGTATGGTTTTTCTTCTCCGGTAGTGACAGAGTCGATGATGGTTTTGTATACGTGATGTTGCTCCGCGGTAAGGTTGCGCTCGTGGCCTTCAGCGTATTCCTTACACTTATTTACGTCAAATGATTCTCTCATTCTTTGGATTTCTGTAGTTGAGTGTCTAGCTGCAGGCAGGTTGACTTGTTCGTTTGATTTTCCATGTAATTGCAGCTTCAAGTCTATTTCATTTAATGCGCGTTGGATGGAGTCTTGAGATGTCATGATTAGCGTAAAATCCTCAATCAAATTGGGCTGAAATTCTGACCACAATTTTGGTGCAGAGGCACCGTCTAATATGAGGGTGACGAACAGCGCGCGAAGCTGGCTTGCCACCTGGAAAGACGCCGCTTCTTCCATGCAAATTGTGTATTCCTCGTCACCAGTCACTAAACCTCTTGCTCTGGCGGCGTCGTGGAAGGTATTATGTTGAAATGGAGCTGAGTCAGGCTGAGGCACGAGGAGGAGGTCGGCAAAAGACCTTCCCGGCACGGTGTGCAGTAAAAGCCGGAGGTAAAATAAGTCACCAACTGCTGGACTCTGGAACACGATTCGACATACGTGCTGATTTGTTTGAGATCTAGGTGAAATGATGTTGCTGTAGGAGTCTAAGAACTTCCCAGGAGGTGGGGATGTTGGTTTTGGAGCATCTTTCTTGGGCTTTGTGACGGTATATTGTTCGTAGTAGTGTAGCAGGGTGAGCGGCGTAAAATCGACGTCCTCCGGCCGTTTGAAATATGTCATTAGAGAAGATGGAGAATTCTCAGCAATCTCTAGCCGCAATTCAGGAGTTGCATCGTCTGGGTATGTGACATATTGTTCCCCTTCTAAGTGGGCGTGCACTTTTGTAACCGCTGGAAATCGGCTAACCATCTGAAAACCGAACAACCTCCATGTTGCTTCGGCTGCAGATATGTATCGAGTTTTCCGATACTGCTCAATTTTGCTTGTGATACCTTGGATTCGGGCTTTCGCGTAGTCGGCGCCTTTGTGTACGTACTTGAACAAATCCTTGACGCATGATGTTGCCGTTACAACGTCCACACATATGTGACAGTCAAACATCATCAGTAAATAATATGGATTGTACGGCACCACCCACTCGTTACCAACGGGTGGGTACGTCTTGCCATTTTCCGTCTACCTTGCCGCAAACGAATGGTCTGTCACCGGAGTCGGTCCGTTTGTTTTCTGCACGCCCTGTCCGGTCGTTGATAGTGGCTGTGCTTCGGAATGGTTGAGGGTAATATTTACTGCAATGTTTAGTGTTTGTGTCGCGATTGATCTCCATACATGGCGAGTCGACGTTGTGCGCTCCACAGGGCTTGTGGATCATATACTTCAAAACTTTTTGTCGGAGGACACCATCCGCTACATCTTCGCTCGGAATCTGTGCCCATACCCATTCGTCAATTTGGTTTAACTGGGCGGGACCTGCATTTTTAAACGTCATGAGGATGTGCGCGTGGGGATACCCCCTCTTTTGAAACTCGATTACACTCAAATGGCTGTCATATTCTCCAAATACTCTTCCGCTTTTTAGTTCTTTCATTATGGCACCCAACTTTAACTTGAAAACTCGGCAGCACAAGTCTGGGCGGTCATATGCAGTTTGCCCGTTCAAAAGATTGTCTTTAACCTCCTTCCAGTCCGAGTTAAAGGTAACTGTAATAAATAAGTGAGGCTTTCCTCTTCGGTTCACGATTGCTAATGCATCTTCCGTATCGGACTTGCGTTTGGTCATGGACCCTGGGTGACTTGCTGGAAGCAGCTTTCCCGGGTGTGATTCTGATGAACTTTCTCGAATGGAACGGTCCGTGGCCAGTCTTCGCTGTAAAGGACCGTGTTCAACAAAAGCTAAACGTTCTTCTTCCATTCTGCTTAGTGAGTCGCAAGCCCATTCTTGAGTGACGCGACTGTTGCGTTGAAAAATGGGTTCGCAAAGCAACCGTTGACGGCTGTAGAACGGGAAAGTGACGTGTGCTGTGTTGGATCTATTCATTGTCCTCGACTTGTTTGGAGGGTCTTCCTTTGGGTGTCCCTTTCTCCATCCCGCTTCTCCGTGAAGCATCAACATTGGAAACTGAAGCGTCTCGTACGCGGCACTCCAAAGCGGGAGGAATCTTGGTTTGTTGTCTGGACTATTTTTTGGGTACGTTACTACTGTGCGAGGCCCGGTGTTTTCCCCGGAATTGTAAACTAAAGCAGCAATTTCTGGGGCCGACACTGCGTCGCCAATGACTGGCCCGTCATTGGCACGACTGACTTGAGCAAATTCTATGAAAGGGGAGCTGTCGTTGTCGTTGGATGTTTGGTTCATTATACCTACAGCTGAACGATATTGTTGTGCCCACGATATGTTGTTGTTGACGTGTTGTCGCAAAGTATTTGTTACTTGATCATCAAGGTGCAGAGATGCTGATTGTGAATTGAAATCCGAATCATAAATGTAAAAGCGGGCGTTGTTCGTCACGTTCATGTCCGTGTACTGCTCTTGCAAATCGAAGATTCTGTGATAGGCTTTTCCGTGTAGGGTCAACATTGATGGAGCAGGGTGTCCAGTCCATGTACGCCTTTCGATTCCCCCTGCACCCAGCCCAGTAAATGCAAACAAACCGTTGTATCTTCTTTGTGCAGAACGGAATCTTGCGGAACTGAATATTTCCATGAGATTTGACGGAATCGGTCGAAGACGCGGCATGGCGGATCGGCCTCGATTACAACAGTTGTATGTGTGTTTTTCCTCTTTCCAAAGAACCGCGTCACAGTATTTACAGATATGATTTTCTTTGTGCTGGAGGTTAGGTTGATGGAGTTCATGTGAGGTTAAAGGGCAATTCGGGTGAAGACAATTGAACGGTTGTACACCATACGACATATCGTTGCTGTCGTTGTCTTCAACACTGCTGTCTTCATCTTCATGAGCTGCTTGGTTGATGTTATTTCGTTGCTGTCTAGGCGCGCGGTTTCGCATTCGGCCGAAGTGCTGTCGAATCATTCGAAGTGCATCATCGTTTTCGTCACCGCTTTTATTGCGTGCATTGCTAACATCACCATCGCCATTGCTATCTGGTGGATGTCTATGTGGTCGCCTCTGCTGTTGGTTGTTTCGTGTGCGGTTTTGTCTAACAATCTGTTCTCTCCGTTGCGATTGTCGTGCTGAATTCCGTGTGTTTGAGGTTGAGGTATGTGAACGTTGGTTCCGAGAAACGGAGCGTGTGAAATGAGGATTCGGTGCGGGCTGCTGGAATTGCTGTTGCCGAGACGTCGATCGTGTAACACGAGAGCTCGGCCCTATATTATGGATTGGACGCATCCACTTGTGACTTTTGGGTAAACTTAAAAATTATTGAAATGATAATAAAACTTGGCAAAAAAAATGTATACAGTCATACTTTAGATGTCGATGGCCGG